GACAAGGAGGACATGTCCCGCACGCTGCTGGCCATGTCCAGCTCGCAGGAGAGCTGCCAGGCCATGCGCAAGTCGGGCTGCCTGCCCCTGCTCGTCCAGATCCTGCACGACTCGGACGGAGAGCCGGGGCCCCCCGAGAGCCCCACGGGAGCCAAGGACGCTCGGATGAGAGCCAACGCCGCCCTGCACAACATCGTCTTCTCGCAGCCCGACGAGGGCCAGGCCAAGAAGGAGATGAGGGTGCTGCATGTGCTGGAGCAGATCCGCTCCTACTCCGAGACCTGCTGGGACTGGCTGCAGATGCAGAGCCGGGACGGGGGACGGGGACCCGAGGGAGCGGGTACGGGCGGGGCTGGGAGGGACTGGGAGGGGCTGGGGGCACCCAGGGGTGCCAGGTAGGGCTGGGGACACCCTCGGGGCACACAGGGGTGCCAGGCAGGGCTGGGAGGGGCTGAGGACACCCACGGGTCACAGAGGGGTGCCAGGCAGGGCTGGGGACACCCACCGGTCACTGAGGGGTACCAGGCAGGGCTGGGAGGGTCTGGGAGGGGCTGGGGGCACCCACGGGGTACAGAGGGGTGACAGACTGGGCTGGGGGCACTCACGGGTGACACAGGGGTGCCAGCTAGGACTGGGGACATCCATGGGTGACACAGGGGTGCCAGGCAGGGCTGGGGACACTCACAGGTCACACAGGGGTGCCATGTAGGACTGGGGACATCCATGGGTGACACAGGGGTGCCAGGCAGGGCTGAGGGCACCCAGTGGTCACAGAGGTGACCCAGAGCCCGGGACTGACCCTTGTCCCCCTGCAGTGCCGGTGCCCATCGAGCCGCAGATCTGCCAGGCCACCTGCGCCATCATGAAGCTGTCCTTCGACGAGGAGTACCGGCGRGCCATGAACGAGCTGGGTGAGCGCGGGGAGGGGGCTCTTCTGGGGTGCTGGAGGCCGGAGAACCCCAAATGACCCCCGCCCCATCCCCCAGGTGGGCTGCAGGCGGTGGCCGAGCTGCTGCAGGTGGACTACGAGATGCACAAGATGACCAACGACCCGCTGAACCTGGCGCTGCGGCGCTACGCGGGGATGGCCCTCACCAACCTCACCTTCGGCGACGTGGTCAACAAGGTGGGGGGGCGGMGATTTTTGGGGGGTCTGGGGGTCACGGCGTCACCCTCACCGCCCTCATCCTCCCCGCAGGCCACGCTGTGCTCCCGCCGGGGCTGCATGGAGGCCATCGTGGCTCAGCTGGGCTCCGACAGCGAGGAGCTGCACCAGGTGGGTGCTGCCGGGGCTCGCTGGGGTGGGGGACGGGCAGGGGGACAGTTCCCGTGCCCGCTGACCCCGCTGTGCCCCTCCAGGTGGTCTCCAGCATCCTCAGGAACCTGTCCTGGCGCGCTGACATCAACAGCAAGAAGGTGCTGCGGGAGGTGGGCAGCGTCACCGGGCTGACGCGCTGCGCCCTGCACGCCGGCAAGGTGAGCCCGGGAGGGGACAGCGGGCACAGGGGGGGTGACAGGGGTTTGTGCCACCCAGGGAGGGTGACAGCGGGGGGTTTGTGTCACCCAGGGACGGTGGCAGCAGGCACAGGGTGGCTGACGGGGGTTTGTGTCCCCAGGGAGGGTGGCAGTGGGCTCAGAGGGGTTTGTGTCCCCCAAGGAGGGTGGCAGCAAGCACAGGGTGGGTGACAGGGGTTTGTGTCACCAGGGAGGATGGCAGTGGGCTCAGGGTGGTTTGTGTCCCCAGGGAGGGTGGCAGCGGGGGGTTTGTGTCACCCAGGGATGGTAGCAGTGGGCTCAGAGGGGTTTGTGTCCCCCAAGGAGGGTGGCAGAGAGCACAGGGTGGGTGAGGGGGGTTTGTGTCCCCCAGGGAGGGTGGCAGTGGGCTCAGGGGGGCTGACAGGGTTTGTGTCCCCAGAGAGGGTGGCAGTGGGCTCAGGGGGGTTTGTGTCACCCAGGGAGGGTGGCAGTGGGCCCAGGGTGGCCGGGCAGGGCTGACAGGGGTTTGTGTCCCCAGGGAGGGTGACAGTTGGCTCAGGGTGGCTGACAGGGTTTGTGTCACCCAAGGAGGGTGACAGTGGGCACAGAATGGGTGAAGGGGGTTTGTGTTCCCAGGGAGGGTGGCAGTTGGCTCAGGGGGGTTTGTGTCACCCAGGGACGGTGGCAGCGGGGGGATTGTGCCCCCAGGGAGGGTGACAGTTGGCTCAAGGTGGCCGGGCAGGGCTGACAGGGGTTTGTGTCCCCCTYTCCCGGGGCAGGAGTCGACGCTGAAGAGCGTCCTGAGCGCGCTGTGGAACCTGTCGGCGCACAGCACGGAGAACAAGGCAGCCATCTGCGGGGTGGAGGGGGCCCTSGGCTTCCTGGTCAGCACCCTGACCTACAAGTGCCAGAGCAACTCCCTGGCCATCATCGAGAGCGGCGGCGGCATCCTCAGGAACGTCTCCAGCCTCGTGGCCACGCGGGAGGATTACAGGTGAGGGGTGGGGACACACCCGAGGGACCCCGGGATGGCGCTGGGGGATGGCACGGCTGGGGGGAGGATGGGATTGGGGAATCCTGGGCTGCAGGAATGGGTTTGGGAATGCCATGATGTATGTAGGATGGCAATAGGGGATCCTGGGCGCCATGGGCTGCAGGAATGGGTTTGGGAATGTTTGGGAATGCCATGGGAGTGTGTAGAATGGGGATGGGGCACCCTGGGCACCACAGACCCCGGGATGGCGTTGGGGGATGCCATGGGAGTGTGTAGGATGGGGATAGGGGATCCTGGGCATCATGGGCTGCAGGAATGGTTTTGGGAATGTTTAGGAATGCCATGGATATGTGTAGGATGGTTATAGGAGATCCTGGGCACCATGGGCTGCAGGAATGGTTTTGGGAATGTTTGGGAATGCCATGGATATGTGTAGGATGGGAATGGGGAACCCTGGGCACCGTGGATGCTGTTGGGGGATACCATGGCTGGGGCACTGCAGACCCCAAGGACAGCACTGGGGAAATGTCACGGCTGGGTAGGGGTGGGGTCACCCCTGGAATAGGGTGGGGAGGGGTCAAGGACCATCCTAATAGCCAGGAGGGGATCCCCTGTGTCACTCAGGCAGGGGTGGGGTCTTCTTGCACCCCCCGAACAGGTCAGGGAGAGGTCAAGGACCATCCTGAGGGGTCAAAAACCATCCTGACACCTCTGTCCCACAGACAGGTGTGGGGTCACCTTACACCCCCAGAATGGGTCAGGGAGGGATCAAAGACCATCCTGACAGCCGGGGGATCCCCTATATCCCTCAGRCAGGTGTGGGGTCACCTTACACCCCTGGAATAGGGTGGGGAGGGTTCAAGGACCATCCTGACCCCTCGGGGTCCCCTCTGTCCTGCAGGCAGGTGTGGGATCACCTTACACCCCCAGAACAGGTCATGGAGGGGTTAAGGTCCATCCTGACCCCTCGGGGTCCCCTCTGTCCCTCAGGCAGGTGCTCCGGGACCACAACTGCCTGCAGACTCTGCTGCAGCACCTGCGCTCGCACAGCCTGACCATCGTCAGCAACGCCTGCGGAACCCTCTGGAACCTGTCCGCCCGCAGCCCCCGCGACCAGGAGCTGCTGTGGGACCTGGGGGCGGTCAGCATGCTCCGCAACCTCATCCACTCCAAGCACAAGATGATCGCCATGGGCAGCGCGGCCGCGCTGCGTAACCTGCTGACCAACCGGCCCCCCAAGTACAAGGACGCGTCGGTGGTGTCGCCGGGCTCCTGCATGCCCTCGCTCTACATGCGCAAGCAGAAGGCGCTGGAGGCCGAGCTGGAYGCCAAGCACCTGGCAGAGACTTTTGACAGCATGGAGAAGCAGAGCCTGAAGGGTCAGAGCGCCAAGAAACCCATGAGGCACATGGAGAGCTTGGTGAAGGACTACGCCTCCGACTCGGGCTGCTTCGACGACGATGAGGTGCCCAACATCTCCACCGGCGTGGAGACGGCCAGCGCCTCCGTGCTGTCCATGTTCCTCAACTCGTCCTTCCTGCAGGGCCAGGCGCTGCCGAGGGCTCTGGCACAGCGGCGCTGCCCGGAGCCGGAGAAGGACGGCAGCGGGAAAACAGCCGAGCCCAAAAAGCCACCGCTGCCGGAGGATGATGTCTCGCTGGCGGCCGAGAAGTTGGCCAACAAGATCTCCAGCACGGTGGCCAAGATCGACAAGCTGGTGGAGGACATCTCCACCATGCACAACTCCTCGGATGACAGCTTCAGCCTGAGCTCCGAGGATCACTGCCTGGACTGGCAGTACGGCCCCGAGGAGGGGCACGAGGCGCGCGCCCAGTCGTGCTCGCCGTGCCGGCTGTCGGACGCTGGTTTGGCCAAGAGGGAGAGCCTGAGCCGGGCACACACCCTGCTGCGGCTGAAGACGGCCTACACCAGCCTGTCCACCGACAGCCTCAACAGCGGCAGCACCAGCGATGGTTACTGCACCAAGGAGCACATGAAGCCCTGCCCCAGGGCCGCCTTCCTGGACTATCGCGACGAGCTGCAGCGCTACCAGAAGAGRCCCAGCCGGCTCGAGCTCAAGAGCRTCCTGGGCAAACCRGAGCGGGCYGAACCCCCYGAGCCGGAYAAACCRGAGCAGAGGGACCTGCCYGAACGGGCCAARAAGACGGTGWCTTTCCCCAGCCCCAAGGCRCCGGAGAAGGAGACRGAGTGGAAGAAGGAGGCGGGCACCAAGCCCCCCACCGACCCCAACGTTCGCACCATCAAGCTGTCCCCRTCCTACCAGCACGTCCCCATGCTGGAGACCCTGGCTAAGAGCAGCGCGGCCGCCGGCCAGCAGCCCTCCCTCCTGGGCAGGAAGCAAGCCTGGCTCCCCCCAGCGCTGCTGCAGGCGGCCGAGCCCCTGAGCAAGATCCCGGAGAAGCTGCCGGCCCAGCCGCCGGCCTCGGCGGAGCAGGAGTCGGTGCAGAAGTACTCGGTGGAGGACACCCCGATCTGCTTCTCCCGGTGCAGCTCCTTGTCCTCACTGTCCTCGGCAGACAACGTGCTGGATGGGCAGAGCCACAGCGAGAACGACCTGGACAGCGACTCCTCCCTGGAGATCCTGGAGATGGAGGAAGGGGAYGCAGAAGGGGAGGATGGCAGGCAGGAGAAGGAGAAGGAGCCGGGTCCCACCACGCCGGGGGGGATCTCCCAGCCCATCACCATCCCCTTCCCCAAGCGTGACAAGGTTTTCCTGCGGGAGGCCTCGCCCTCGCGCCAGGAGGACCTGACGCCCTCCAGCTCCTCTGAGAACTACATCCAGGAGACGCCGCTGGTGATGAGCCGCTGCAGCTCCGTCAGCTCCCTGGGCAGCTTCGAGAGCCCCTCCATCGCCAGCTCCATCCAGAGCGACCCGTGCAGCGARATGATCAGCGGCACCATCAGCCCCAGCGAGCTGCCCGACAGCCCCGGGCAGACCATGCCCCCCAGCCGCAGCAAGACTCCCCTCTTCGAGCTGGGCTGCCAGCCGGAGAAGGAGACCAGCCAGTTCAACATCCAGTGGGAGAACAACGTCAAGAAGTTCATGGAGATCACAGACTTCAAGGAGCGCTTCCAGCTGCCCCAGGACCTGGACTCCATGGTCTACTTCACGGTGGAGAAACCCAACGAGAAYTTCTCGTGCGCCTCCAGCCTGAGCGCCCTGCCCCTCCATGAGCATTATGTGCAGAAGGATGTGGAGCTCAAGCTGATCCCCACCTTCCCGGAGAAGAACAGCCTGAACTTCGCGGCCCATGAGAAGCGGGAGGAGCGGCGGGAGGAGCGGTACCTGGAGGGGCGGCGCAGGGCCGAGCGCCCCGAGCCCCCCGACGACGACGACATCGAGATCCTCAAGGAGTGCATCAGCTCGGCCATGCCCTCCCGCTTCCGCAAGGTCAAGACCTCRCTGCTGTCCGGCCAGGTGCTGCACCCCCAGACCAAGAAGCCGCTGCACGTCCCCGTGTACATGCTGGTGCCGGCCCACGCCCACCCCGCCGTCCCCAAGCACCTGCGAGCCACCGCCCGCGATCTCTTCAAGGACGACGACTCTTTCACCGACTCGGCCGACGGGACGCCCGTCAACTTCTCCAGCGCCGCCTCGCTGAGCGACGAGACGCTGCGGTACCCGGCGGGCGAGGAGGCCGAGCATCCCCTGGCCGAGCGGCGCCGCCAGCCCGGCACCATCCCGGCCCGCAGAGCCGCCTCCGGCAGCTCGGCTCCCGCCCGGCTCAGCTCCGCCGCAAAGGGCAAAGCGGGGCCGGGCCGAGCCGAGGGGAAGCGCGGCCAGAGCCTCCCGAAGGGCACAGGCAGCCTGGAGCTGGGGGTGGGCAGGGCCAGCGGTGGTCCCGGCAGGAAGGATGATGCCCTGGAGGAYGGGGTGGTGTTCCAGTCGCTGTGCCACACCACCCCGACGGAGGAGGCCGTTTATTGCTTCTACGACCCGGATTTGGACGAGCTGCCCGAGGAGGGCAGGGACGGCTCCGGCAGCAGAGCCCAGCCCGGCCGGGCACCGCGGAGAGAGCGCTGGGGAGGCTCCGTCCCTCAAAAGGACCCCGAGCCCGGTCCCCGTGCGGCGAAGGCGAAGCCTCAGAACAACCTCATCGCCGACGAGACGCCGCCGTGCTACTCCCTGAGCTCGTCCATGAGCTCCCTGAGCGACGCCAACCTCTCCGAGGGCGAGGAGCGGGGCCAGCCCTGCGGCAAAGCCACCTGGCCGCGCTCGGCCGCCGCGGGGCAGGCGCAGGGGGGCTCGCCCAGCTCCCCCAGCCTCAATTCGGAGGATGATCTGCTGCAGAAGTGCATCGGCTCGGCCATGCCCAAGCGCCGGCGGCCCGCGGCTCGCCGYAGGCTGGTGGAGAGGAAGCAGAAGCCGCCGGGAGCCCCCGGGAGGGAGCGGAAAGCCGAGGGCAGGCATCACCCYGAGGAGGACGCCGGCTCCGACCGCGGCTCCGATCTGGACAGCGTGGAGTGGCAAGCGATCCAGGAGGGAGCCAACTCCATCGTCACCTGGCTGCACCAGGCTGCCGCCTCCCTGTCCCGGGAGCCTTCCTCCGAGTCCGACTCCATCCTGTCCTTCATGTCGGGGCTCTCGGTGGGCTCCACGCTGCAGCTCTCCCTGGGCAGGCAGGAGAAGCAGCGGCCCGGCAGCGCTCCGGGCCGGGAGGCGGCGCGGAGGGAGCACAGCAAGGGCCGCCCGGAGCGGAAGGACGCGGCCGGTGCCCGTCCCGCCGGCMGGGCCAGCGCCAGGGCGGAGCGGAGCGCGGCGCCCGCCAAGCCAGTGCCCAACCTGCCCGTGGTGTTCCGCGGCAGGACCGTCATCTACATGCCCAGCCTGGCCAAAGATGCYCCCAGCCCACGGGCCACCCCGAAGAAGAGCCCGGCGACCAAGCCCGAGGCGCCGCCGGCCAAGAACCTCTCGCTGAGCCAGCAGCGCTCGCGGAGCCTRCACCGGCTGGGCAAAGCCCCCGAAACCGGGGATTTGGCGCTGCCCAAGAGGAGCACGACCCCGCCCGCCCGCATCGGCAAAGGKCCCCCCTCCTCGGGCTCCTCCCGCACCTCCACGCCCTCCCAGCACGCCCCCAAGAAGCTGCCGTCGCCCTCCCAGGTCACCAAACAGGGCGGCCCGGCCGCGGGCAAGGCGGGCGGCGCCTCCTCCCCACCGGGACCCCCGGCCAGAGCTCCGGCCCCCAAATCCCCGGCTCCCAGGCAGTCCAAGACGCAGAAGTCGCCCGTGCGCATCCCCTTCATGCAGAARCCCAGCAGGAAGGTGCTGCCGGCCCGGGGGACCATGCCGGTGCTGGAGGAGCAGGTCGATGGCTCCAAGGCTCGGCCCGGGGCKCCGGGGGGTGGCAGCCGGCTCAATTTGGTGCGGATGTCATCCGCCCGCTCCAGCGGCAGCGACTCGGACCGCTCCGGCTTCCTGCGCCAGCTCACCTTCATCAAGGAATCCTCSAGCCTGCTGCTGCGGCACCGCTCCGATCTGTCCCCCGCTCCGCCGGCCACCTCGCTGCCCCGCCGGGGCTCCCCCCAGCGCAGCCGAGCCGCGCTCCCGGCCGTGTTCCTCTGCTCCTCCCGCTGCGACGAGCTCAAAGCGGCCAAATCGGCGACCCCCGGCCAGCGGCCGCTCATCCCCAGAGCCCAGCCCGGCGGCAAAGCCATGGCCGGGGTCAAACCGCCGCGCCGGACCAGCTCCGAGAGCCCATCCCGGCTGCCGGTGAAGACCAGCGTGCCCGCGGCAGAGCCCTTCAAGCGCTACTCGTCCTCGCCCAACATCAGCGTGGCCCGGCGGGCCGCCAGCCCGTCCTCCGTGCGCTCCGAAGCGGCGGCGCGSCGGCGGCAGAACGAGCCGGCTCCCGGGGGACCGCCGGGAAAGCCGCCGGTGGTGATGATGAAGGGCACGTGGCGGAGGATCCGGGACGAGGACATCCCGCACATCCTCAAGAGCACGCTGCCCTCCTCCGCGCTGCCGCTGGCGGGCTCCGGAGACGAGGAGCCCCCCGGCACYCCCGGCACTCCSGGAACCCCGAGGAAGACCAGCGACGCCGTGGTGCARACCGAGGATTTCGCCACCTCCAAGATCAACTCCAGCACCTCTCCCACGCTGGAGAGCCGCGAGGGACCCCCGAACCCCCGCGTCACCGGCGAYGGCGAAGCCCCCGCGCCCGCCAAGGCCGCTCTGCCCATCTCCTTCGGCCACGAGGCGCCCGCCGGGACCTTCCCCGCCAGCCGGCACGGCTCCCCCAGCAAAGCCGCCCGSGTCACCCCCTTCAACTACGTGCCCAGCCCCATGGCGGTGACRGCGGTGGCCGACAAGGCGGTGGAGAAAATCCAAGCTTGATGATGCCCCGGTGAAGGTCCCGCGACACCGCTGGACCTGCGGGACTGGCCAGGACTGTGCTTGGGGGACACACATGGGGATGTGGGACAGCTGGGGACCAGTGGGTCACCCCGAGCCGCTGCTGTGCTGGAGCATCACAATTCCCAGCGCCAAGKACTGGACAGGACTGGGAACGTTCCGGGTCTGACACCCCGAGCTGGGGTGGCTCTCACGGACCATCTCCAGCCCCTGAAAGACATCCAGGGACAAGCTGAGGTGGGGCCGTGTCCCCATGTGGCCTCATCCCGCTCAGCCAGGGGTGGAATCCTGATCCTGCACGCTGGGAAGCTGACACAGCACATCCCGSTACCGGGAAAACCCCGCACGCTCCAGCTTGTCGGGCACCACCTCTGGCTCTGCCAGCGATCGCAGCTCGTTTATTAACCGGGGAAGGGACACAGGGGACAGGCTTTGGAGGGGGGACAGGGGACAAGACCCGAATTTGTGCTGCTGGAAGCTCCTGAGTGCTGACAGGGGACTGTGCCGGTCCGAGGTGATGGCAGGTGGAAATGGTGCAGGAGGAGCCGGGCAGGGGTTCGCAGGGCTGGCTGGAATCCCGATGGGGTTTGTCCTGCAGGCAGCTCACAGGGTGCTGTCACCAGGCCGGGGGGCTGCCCTGGGAGGGGACGGGGTGCTGAGCCAGAACGGGATGCCCAACCCCCAGGAAAGGGTCTGGGGTCCCTCACCTTCATCCCAGTCCCCCAGCCTCCCACCCCCAGGGCAGAAAAAGCCTCGGCTCGCAGCCGGGATCCCGGGGTGACCGTGTGGATGTGGACACGGATCCATCCAGGACTGGATTACGCCCACGAGCACAGGGGCTCCCCACCCCAAACCCCGGGACACCCCCATTCCTGCTGCCAGCCGGCCCCAGGAGCTGACATTGGGGTGTGTGGAAAGAGCCTCAGYCCCTGCGAGTGGGATGGGCTGCAGAGGGACCCCCAGTCCAGGTGGCCCCAGACCCCTCCCACCATCCCAGTCCTCCCACTATCACCACCGGCCTTGAATGGGGTGACCTTTGTGCCAACCCCCCATCTCAGTGCCACAGGGGCTGCAGGGACAGGCACAGGGCTTTGGGGACATCTGCAGGGGACACATCTGGGGGGCTTTGGGGACACAGTGAGGAGTGCCCTGGGGACACACAGTGAGGCCAGGGAGACAGCAGGACTGTGGGGACGTGCAGGGGGTCCCCAAGGATGTGCACTGGGGTTGTGGGGACGCCCTGGAGCCCCCCTGCTCTGCCAGCGGCCAGCACGGAGGGATCAGCAGCTGGGACTGAAGAAAAAGGGGGAAAATCGCAGGGGCAGCACTCCTGGAGCACAGGGGTGGTGGGAAGGCCAGAATCGCCCCCCGGGTCCAAAGCACTGCCCTCCCCCTCCTCACGGACAATCCCGCCGGGCTCTGCCGGCTCCCCGTCACTGTATCTATGTACTGAGGATGTTATTTTACCAAACTCTGGACAATATTCCCAATTAAAAGCCCACCTGTGTAAATAGGAAAGGGGTGTCGTGTCTATCCCTGGGGGCAGGGCAGCCCCTCCGCAGCGTTTTCTGGATCCATTTCTTGTACTTCACGGTCGAGGTGGCCACCGGTGGCTTAAATGGGTTGACGACTTTCTTGCCGAAGGACATCACACCGGCCACCGCCGGCCGCTTCCCGCACACCAACGGGCCCCCCGAGTCACCCTGGGTGGGGGAGGTGACACCAGGAATGGACCCCGACCAAGGGACAGGGACCCTCACCACGGCCAAGGGGACATTTCACCAGCTCAGGGTGAGCACACGGAGCGCCCCCATTCCCAGGCACGGTGGCTCGGGGTGGGCAGAGCTTTGTAGCCGCCCTTGGACCCCCAAATCCTCACCTGGGCGGGTGCGGAGCCGCTGCGCTCCCCTCGGAAGCAGATCATGGTGGGGTAGATTGTTCCGTCCCAGAAGCGGCTGTTGTTGCACATCCGCGCGTCCATCACCGTCACCTCCAGCTCCTGCAGGGTGGGCGACAGCTTCTTGTCCTTGCGGAGTCCCCAGCCCGCCAGGCTGCACCGCGACCCCACCGCCGGCTCCCGGCTCGCCAGCGAGATCAGCCGCCGTGTCCTGCTCAGTGTCACTGTCCCCTCCAGCTGCGGGCAGGGAGCGGTGTCAGATTCTCCATGGGCACGGGGGCACGCAGGGAGCACCCCAACACCGCTTATGGGGGGCYAAGGGGGAGCACCCCAATGCGGTGCGTGGGAGGCTGTAAAGGAGACCCCAATAGCGCAGGGGAGGGGTCCAGAGGGAGCACCCCAACACCTCGGCTCGAAGGGGGAGCACCGAGCCGGTGCAGCGCCCGTGGGCGCGGGCGATGACACCCAGCTGTGAAATGTCGTGCGGGTGAGAAGCGGAAATGTCACCGAGCCGCTCGCCCCGGCTGCGAGCGCAGCTGCACCGACACCACGAGAACCCCGCACCTCCCCGGCAGCGCTTCCCGGCACCGCCGCCGCTCCAGCCCCGCCTCGGAGCCTTCCCCGCGGCCGGTCCGAGCCCCACCTGGAGCAGGAGCAGGTCGTTCTCCATCGTGTCTGAGTCGTAGTCGGGGTGGGGACAGGCAGCTCGGATGGARAATGTCTGCGCGCCCGCCTCGGGATTCTTCCACT